TTTTTTTTCTTTTAACTCTGGTGTAAACTTCTGCAAAGATCGACTAAATTGTAGAAAAAAAAACAAACAAAGTTGCAAACCTTCTTGTCAAACATGTATATCTAAATTTAATTTCAATATCTTTTACTGCGATGCTGCACCTTTTACGTGTATTACTGGCTATAAAGTTAAAAGAGAAAAGCACAAATGAAAGCAACAATAATTTCTCAAACATTTACATTTACTTATTTTTTTTTTATTTGTGAGTTTATGATTTTTTTTGCTTTGTTTTGTTTTTTTTTTTAATTTCTTTAAGTATTGATATTTGTATTTTTTGGTCAATTTTTTCTTTTTTGAAATGTATACATTTAAAAAACAACAAAATATACAAATTCTTTATTTTCTTCGATAGGTGGTTCATTTTGTGTGGACACTATGATGTGCAGTTTTTAAATGCTAAAATGCACAAACCTACGAAAATTTATAGAGTTTGGCGCGTTGAATTCAAAATATTTTTTATTTCTTTCTGTGTGGCTTGTTTTTCAAGTTAATAATTCGCCAAAGTCGGGGTTCCTAGGAAAACTTTATGCTTAGTTTGATAATTGCTCTGTTTTGTTAGGATTACTCGTATTTATTGGAAATATGGTTTTCTGAATATTCTAATACTTTGCTTTCTTATTCTGGGGTACATCAAAAACAGTACTTTTTAGCAATTTATTTAAATATTATTATTATTTTTTGATTTCTCTACCTTTTTATCGCAATTTGCGCATATTTAAAATTGTATTAAAATTTTTTTTTGATATCTTTTAGCTTTTTCGTGTATATTTTTGTTTATTTCTTTTTTAAATTCGCTTCAGATTTGATTTTGGTTTATAGAATTTTTTAATTATCAGTTTAATAGCTTTTGTCTGTTGTGTGCTGTGTAGGACTTCTGGACAAGCAGCTACTTTTTTGATACACGCTTGCTAAGAAATTTTCTTTCTTTTTTTTTAGTTTTTATCGCATTGCTGGTTTAGTAAAGTTTTCAAAAACAGGGATTGTCATAAGGGGCACACATGTAACATCAATAGATAGTTTTTCTTCAAATATAATTCTCTTAGCTTAACATTAAATAATTATTTTTATATATTAATATGTGTATGCATATCTTAGATTTTCTTTTCAACACACTTCAATTAAATTTTCGCCTTAAATACTAGAAATTTAATACAATTACTTTGCGATATATGTATGTATATTTTGTCTTCAAGTATTTCTTAAAATATATATGTATGTATTTTATATTATTTGGTTTACACTTAACATAAATAGATTTTCTCTTCATTTATCTAATTTAGTTTTTTATTTGTTTTTCGTACTTATCATTTGCTCCTTTTTCTACTTCATTTTAGGCGTTTATTGAAATTACAGTTTCTTAGTTTCGTTTTTTGTTATTTTGCTTAACTCGCTTTAAATCATATACTCTTTTGTATTTTTTATATAATAACGTTTATAATAGACTTTATATTTAATAAGTAACAACATGTACGTTTGTATGTAGTTTGAATTTGCTCAAAACATTCAGTGTATACATTTAGATAAGTTATGAAATTTTCTTTTCTGGATATGATAAAATTCATCTAAATCTTAGGCGTCAATTCAAGGTCACACCCACCAAAATCGCTCTCTCTCTCTCTTTCTCTATCTATCTCCCATTTCAACATATACCAAGCTGGCACGCATGAATGCACACGTATGTACGTGTGCTTGCTTGACTAAATGCAGTTGGAAAACTGCAAAGTGTGCTCAAAAGCTACTTCTAAAAGTGTTCACGTTTTATATGTGTATATGTTTGCATTTGTTTTAGTTAGTAAGTATATCTGTGTTTGCAGTTTGTATATATAGTAGGTAAGCATTTTCATATTTGATGTCTTTTGGTATTCCGGTGTGCTTTTGATATCAACAATTTCAAATTTTTTCGTACTTATAATTTCTACCATTGCGATTGTTGTTGCTGTGTTTTCTTTTATATTTCGCTTCTACTTTTTCATGTTAGCTTTCATTATTTGTTGTTGTTGTTTTTGTTTTTGTTTTTGTTGTTGTTGTTGTTGTTGTTGTTGTTGTTGTTGTTGTTGTTGTTGTTGTTGACGTTACTGCTAACACTCCAACTATCTGCTTAAATTTCATAGTTGCGGAACTTATTGGCCACATCGGAATTCTCTGTGCCCCATTCAGTTTTTCGATTGCCATAATAGAGTGCAGCACCACCCTCGGAGGCACGTCGATGAGCTGGATTAGGTGAGGCCGCCGACAGACCGCCACTGCCACCAGCACCAGTTGCGCCTCCCGTTTCAGGCAGCATGCGATCTTTGGTCTTTGGTGTGGCCCAATGCATTGACTGATTGGTAGTGGTGGAGAGAAAAGTAGATATTGTTAATTTATATGTTATTGTATATGTATATTTTTTCGTTGGGGAATATGAAGCTAAGGCGAATTGTTTGTGTTTTTTATTCGCATTTCCCTTGCAGTTTGAAAGTTTTCAGGACAATTCGCAATCTCTCACAATTTGGAGTTTGGTGAGTTTGGACAATCTTTTTTTAGTTTCCATATTGCTTACTCGCAGCTAACTACATTTGATTACATAACTTTTTGATATCGAAAGTATACTTTTTGATTTAACAATTCGCCTTAACTTCTTACATATTTCATTGACAAGTAGAATTAAAGATACATATTTACATAAATAATTTGACTGATACACAGCCAAAATTTTTTTGCTAATAATTTATAAAATGGATACGGAGTGGGGCAAATACACAACATCAAAACTATTTATTACCAATGGATACATCTTTGAGAAAAAATCATTTTGGCATTTCATCATGCAATTTATATTTTTTTATATTGCGGATGAAAAATTGTATTGTTGCTAATCCCGTTAAGAGAATTTTCGTGTTTATAAGGTGATAATGGCTATGTAGATTAATTAAGGGCTTAGGGCATAGCAAAATTAAGCAAAGCCACTTTCGTATTAATATTTCTCTTGTTCACTCATCACTGTACAACATCCCTATATAATCAGTAGCTAAGGATAGAATTTCCTGGAAAATTGTTTAATATTCCGCTAATACTAAATACTACTAGGAGACAGAAAAGTTAAAGATATATTTATGTATATGAAAATTCTATTAGAATTACTTTACTTCAATAAGTATACGCAGATATATCTGAAATATTTATTGAAAGCAGTCATTTTGTTGACTAAACAAAAAGCTTTCTGCTCTAATTTCGGCGATGTTCCATTTTAATTTTTTTAATATTCTATCTTTTCAACTTTTCTTTACAAACAAATATTGACAAAAACGCATTTTTGGTCGAAAATAGAGGCAGTAAATGCATTATCTTCAGTTTTATATAAATAACACGATTCCAACCCGAAATTGTATTTAAATGAAAATTTGAAAAATTTAAACTAAAACGATTAAAGAAGTATAAGTTCGGGCGAACGCGAATTTTCTATACCCGGGCCAGGCATCAGATATCGTCGCCCCAACTTTCTCTAAACTACCTAAAGGTCTAGGGTTGTAATGTATTCAAATTTAAATAGCAATAAAAAAGTAACAAAAAAATAAAAACATTAAAGAAATTAAATAAATAAAGTAATCTAATTTCCGATGACTAATATTACATTGGAATGAATGAAAGCTTTTCTTATTTTTTAAGTTGTTGGGTTTTTCTTTCGTTAATTAAATTATTAAAAAATAAAAAATAGTACAAATAAAAAGAATAAAGAAATAAAAAAAAAAATTATAAAAAACTGGGGTCATTTATTCCTGTATCTTCCTCGTAGTATGCCCTGGATACTGCAAGTGTGGAAATTTGCAAAATTGTAAAATTTTGAGAGAATTTTTAAAATACATTTATCAATTTTAGTCACATGAATGAATTTTTTAAAACAATTTAACATAAAACGCACCACTTAAAATTTTTCACTTAAATTCGTATTTTTATTTCTTTAAATAAAATAAATTAGTAATAGTGGCCGTGATCTAAAAAATCTGCATATTCTTTATTCTAAAAACCACAGACATTGCTTTTGGTAGTTAACTTTAACTTTGGGTTTTTTGGCAAAATCATACTCTACTCAATACGTATGTATGTATACATAGCTGGCCATGCGTAAATCAATCCCTTTACTAGGGTCTGACCTTGAGACTAATTTATTTTATATGAAATAATCAGATTCTCTGAAACGCATATTTATCGAGAGTTTAAAATACTTTACCGTTCCCTCTGTTCGCCTACCAGGATTTTTTCGTTAAGAAATTGAAAATAAGGAATTGAAGTTGTTCAAAATTGTAGTTCCTGGAAATTGAAAATTAGAATGTGTGTGTGGGACTCAGTTTTAAATTTTAAAATTGTAAACTTTAAAAATCTTTCCGCGCAAATACATATTTACCTATATCAAATGATTCTTAAATCTGAAATGTTTTTCACAGATCGAGCACTTTTATTTGATATATAAAATTGTTTCTGTACGATTACACATAAATATATAGATTTATAATACATATAGAACCATATTCGTCTCAGAAACCGGTTAAAACCGTCTCAGAAACCGGTTAAAACCGGTTTTCGTATGGGACAGCTTTGCAAACCGTGCAATCCATGCACCGTGCAAGGGCTTTGCAAGACTCAGAGAATACCCCTAATGTAAGATTTGTATATGGGTGTATGTACAGAGGCAAAAGCAACATTTTTCTTTTGCAAATCTTCCGCTGTATGCTGCCTACATTCGCAACAACATTGCAACAATGCTTTGATTGATATGAAAAAAAAAAACAGAGACGAAAGCGAGTAAAGAGAAAAATTGTTCATTCTCTTATGTCCCGCTGAAACGCTGCCTGTCGAAATGAATGAGGCCGTGTAAAAATTTTAAAATCTTTCGACGCAAATATTTCGAAAGTGGTTTATTGAACTTTAAATTTGAAAAGTTTGTGCAAAGTTCAGATCGAGCACTTTGATTTGATGTATAATTTGTCTCAGCACGATTTTTAGGTCGCTGGGAATAAGCGCCTCGTTTTAGAATAATATATAGATTAAATAATTAGTTGATAGATAGGCAACCCTACTCAAAAACATGGTATTGTTAAAGCTTGTTCAAACACTTTCCATTTGTTACCCATATTGTGATATTAAATAAGCGCAAATTTTTTAATAAACGTAAATGTAACTTTTAAGAAAGGTGGCAACTCCACTCCAAAATATTTTTTTTTATCTCTGCAAACGGTTTTTGTTTTACTATTGAAATTGAGGTATGCTGTGAAGCTTTTGAGTAATTATAAATATCTCTGTTTTAAAAATTTTTTTCTAGAAACTTTCTACAGAAAATACAAAATGGAATGGGAGCAAATAAAAGTAAAAAAAAATCTAAGTACATACGTGCCTTCTCGGATTTTTCATAATTTTTGCACACCTGATATTTTTCAATGTACCGCTTACAATAAGCCATACCGTGAAAATATTTGTTTCTAATTTTTTTCACATTTAAATAGTAGAAAAAAAAAAACAATTTTGCCCACTTTCTCTTTCTTCTGGCCCACTTTGCAATGTGAGTTAGGATTAAAAGACATATTTCCAATGAAGTTAGTGCTGATGTAAACTGATTAATTGTAGTGGTTTATTAAAAATTGTCAAATAATAAATATTGTCACGGCAAGTAGCAGTTTTATTCATTATAAAGGCTAGAGTGCCCAATTGTAATTAACATTTGAAAAAGGAAGAATAAATAAGTGACTTTAATGTTTTTATTGATAGCCTACTCTAGTTCACGTAGTTCTTGGTTTTAAGAAATTTTTATTAAAATAAAATGAGATGACACAATTTCAATCTGAAAATTTACTATCTCAGAAAGATAATTTTATGCCATGCCGGAAGTCAATTGAAAAATTATGTCATCAATAAACTCAATTGGAAATTTAATTGACGAATGTAGAAAATCGATTGGGCTACCAATTTACACCAAATTTTCGGGTAAATTCCGAATCGTCTCACTCAGCCTTTAGAGCATACAAGGCTCACAAAAAATCCTTGGTTAATCCGATAGAGAACTGCTGGGGTATTCTTAGGAAACTATAAAAGTCCCAGGAATAAGACAGATTT